CCACCAGGGACGGTGCTGCCCTGGCCATCGCCGAACGCCGCAAGCGCGCTGCCTACCCCGAGCTCCTTCGGCGAGGACCGCAAAAGGCTGCGCGTGCTCGCGTGCGAGACCGGCGGACGTTGGAGGGCTGGTACAGGCGGTGGTGGGGCCTGCTCAGTGTGGCTGTGCAAAACACGCTTGCTGCCACTTTGCTCGGGACGCCGCCAGTCCATGCCCCCATGCCTGGCACACGCAAACACCGCATCTGCAGGACGTCCTGCACGACGCCTGCCTGCCTGCCGACCCGCTGAGCCGCTGCAGCCACGCTGCCATGCCGTATAGCTCGCAGGTGCACTGGGACCGCGCGCGGATCGCCCGAAAAGTCCGTGGGAAGAAAAAAAATCACACACTCTGAGCATGAAGAAAGTGTTATCGGCTTAGCCACGCCGGGAACAGGTTTATGACCTGCAGTGTGCGACAGTGGTGAAAACTTGGACTCGGACGGAGCTGTCCCTTGCCCGGCAAACGACTGCTTGCTCTTGCCGGTTGCTGCAACTTGTCATTGGCACGCTGGATCAACTGCCACAGCTCAATGCTGTTCTGCAAGTTATTCCATTGCGCCCATTCCGAAGACCAGTCACACACCAACTTCTGGTTGGAAATGCGCACGGTGACCACTACACTGGGCCCAACCTTGAGGCTGGTCAACTTATCGTCCCACTCCATATCCCTCTTATGAAACCCCACTCCCCAAGCTGCCATCGAAGTCCCATGATGAAAACTTTCTGCACGCGCTGCATCATCGGCAAATCTTGCGTGACCCACACTCTTTATCACTCTTTTGCCCTTCTCATGCATTTCGGCACTTCTCAACAACGCCACCGCCGTGTCCCGGTCGACCGAAGTTCTGAATTTTGCAAACAGCAGTCATTGAAACACTTGTGGCTTCATGTACGTGCCAATGTGCGATGGGCCTTGCAATGCGCTCCGCTTAGTTGTCAGCCATGTTGTGGCATCATGCAGTGACGGCAACACATCTAAGCCTCCAATCACCATAGTTCGCATGTAGTCCTGCTGGGCGCTTGATTCCGATGTTCGCAAGGCGGCCACTTGCGATTGCAAATCGTTGATTTGATTTTCCAGCTGAGCGCTGCGCTCCGATACATGCGATCGAGGTGTGCTTTCGGCATGCATCACAAGCTGCTCCAATTTATCAACTCGCAAACTCTGTCCACCAACCGTGCTTTCAATCTTGTCAATGCGCTCGTCCAAGATGTTGTGAATGTGGCTAATCTTCTGTTCGACGGGGGCCAATCCTCTTTCATTTTCAGCGCGGGAACAAAGTTTCAAATGGCGGCAACGGATAAACCAGTGATGAACCTATCGATCCATCAACATGCGTGTCATCATCCATCTCGTTGCAGAGGGGAGCGAGCCGGTCTTTTCACGGATCTCGTAGGCGGCGTCATCCCTGCTTCCATGGCCATCATACTTGGCGCAGACGTCGCTAGCCTCTTTGTGAGGCAATCAACCCGTGAGGCCTTGAGCCACTTGAGCCAGCCAAACCCCGCGATAACATTCGATCGCCCTGTCGCAGACACAGTCAAAAACAAATACACACACACACACACAATCAATCACAATCACAGTGCATGATCAATGCCAGAACCGGGTCGAAATCCGAATTGCTCGAGTGATTGCTCTTGGTACAAAAGGGGCTGCAACCGTCCATTTGCCAGTTTGGAAAAGATTCTTCAAGTCACGATCAACAAAGCAATCGGCCTCAAATTTGGCACATTGGACCTGCTTTGCCTTTCGGCAACTGGCATAAAACATTTTCAATTCTGGCATGGTGGAAAGCCGGGATATGAAATCCTCGTTGGGCTGACACATGTCGACTGTCGTTCACATTTGAAGCAAATATGCCCAACAGATAATCAGCAAATTCATGCGGGGAGGGATCTTGCAGATAGCGCAGGTTCGATCGGATCACGTCACTCACGGCTGCCGAGGTAGGCGGCCTTGTGACAAGCATACGCCGCGACAGCAACGCACACCCTTCATGAACGGCCTGGGCCAAAGTCTCCTCCGCTGCTGTGGGGCCGTGGCGGCGAAGTGCGGTGCAACACGAGACGGGAGGAAGGTCTTAGCTAATGTTTCATAAGCACAGGGTATAACAAGCAACACGTGGGCACGCTTGGGCGCACTAGCTGGTGCACGGGTACTGCCCATCTGACGCGAAATTAAAGTGCAATCAAAGTGTGCTGCCACTGCGTGGAAAATGTCATTACGTGCACTACGATTGGAATCCTAATCACAGTGGTTGTCACTGTACCAGAGATCTTTGGCGAACAGCTTGGCCACAGAGGCCCCAACATGTTTTGCTGATATCGAATCACATGTCGTGATATACGCTCGCGTGGCACGAAAGTCAGTTGTAGCGCGTCCAAGCCTTGGCAGAAACCGGGCCTGCGACATTTGATGAGTCTTCGCCGTTGTTGCCGTGACAAGATTGAACGCTGCAGGGTGTTTAAATCTATGGGTACGGAGTTCCGGCGCGAGATGCGCCTCACGCGAAATGCGGGAGTTTCGGGACGTGACCGGTGCTGCCTGCGCCGCCAAACACATCCCAAGACCGTTGGCAGAACTGCGGCGACGTGGAGAACTTTCCACGGCATGAGGCTTCTCCATGTACCGCGTAGTGCCGCCCTGGTCCACCGCCGCCAGCCTGCTGCATATTCTCTGCCCTGGCATCGTGCTTTCGCAGCTTCCAGTGAGCATTGCGGCTTTCCGCTCGAGTAACGTGATGCTCAGCCTTCAGCTTGTGCTGTCCCTCGGGGCATGTGTGCTGTAGACCAACTGTTCACACATGCTTCGTGGTGCTGGTTGATACTTTTCCGTGCAGTCATGTTTGCTGATGAGTGAAGTTTTTTTCCATTTTCTCTGAAAACGTCCCTAAATCTGGGGGTGGTGTAGCACAAGCAAGGTCTTGGCGGTTATTATAGCTGTGGCTGCTACTTGCAAGTAGATCTGCGAGAAAGAGAGAGAGAGAGAGAGAGAGACAGCGGGCAACCCGTAGTCTTTACCCCAAAGCAAAGCAAAGCAAACAGAGAGAGAGAGAGAGAGAGAGAGACAGGACTCTGGCACCTTTGCTGGCTGCTAGTGGCCATTTATACACGACAGGACCAGCCTTTCGTGCGACCGTTTGAAGCTTGCCTTCGTCGTGGAATCATTAGCACGAGCCATCACGAGCCCACATCGCTGCACGAAGTTCCTCTCATGTTAAGAGCGACGAACATCGACTGCATCCGTCATGAGGTGTGTCTGCCCCAAAAGGGGATGCCGACCCTCCTGACTTGGTATGCATCTTAGCACCACCGATGTGCGGTTGTTGGTGAGAGTGACTTCCCTTAGGTGAGCCGAGGAAGCGCCATTGCTTGGTCCAGAACATGATTTGCCGGAGTGTTTGATGTCACTTGGGAGGCGCTGCTTTGGGCACTTCGTCCAGCAGTTCAGCACGCCCTGGTGATGGCTCGCATCCTAACTGTGAAAGCTGGTGGATGATGTCCCGCCAATCGGCTGTGGTTCGTGATGCCTTATCACGTTGAAGGCAAGGTCCCTGGTGGCATTGAGGCCAGATGTGGTGGCAGTGTCGAGCATTATGTGGGTACGGGTCGGTGAGCCGGTGATTTGCTTTGGTGGATGGCAGGAACACATCGTTCGCGGACCAAATGGTCAAAAGGTGCAGTTGGTGGCAATGTATTGCCTTCAGGATACCAGTGGTGCACAGCTGAAGGTGGACACCGGGGACTTGCTCAGCTTGCATGTGGGCACCGCCCAGGCAGAGTTAAAGCTTTGCACGTTTGTCGCTGCGGTCTTGTCAATGCTTGCATGGATGCCAGGTTGCCGGCAAGCCAATCCTAAGCCCGAGAAAAGAGGCCAGTCCCAGAGCCCCGAGTCTCAGTCCCCGAGCCCCTGGTGGCAACCCGCACCTGAAGGCCGGGGGTGGGGATTGCTTTGCAGCTGAGTCCGAGTTTCTTTAGTGCAGAACTTGTGAAAGCTTCATGTTCAGGTAGATTTGTCCGGCTTGCCAAAGCGCGGCTTTTCCCATCAGAGCACTTCATCCAAGGCCCGGGATGCCGGGACCTGTGCTAGCAGCCAGCATGTGCTAGCAGCTGCTAGCACAACTCTCGAGTCGAGAGGTGTTGTGGATGCAGGATGATGCAGGAACATGTTGCCAAACATGCCGAAATGAAAGGCGAAAGGGTCAACAGCATTGACGACATCTCATAAATCAGCAAGCCGGTTTGAAACATTTTTGATTACAAGCTGCTAAGCGGCCCGGTGGCTTGACGATGCTTGACGCAAGATAAGAAACAAAAACATACAAAATCGGCTCAAGGAGGGAATAGCGCTGGAGTAAGGGATCTGGCAGGTCGGCTTCGATGACAAAGGCAACATCTTGCCGGATGGCTTCGGTGGCGACTTGGTTTATGAGGATGTTGGGAGTTTGTACCCTGCGCAGGTCAAGCAGCTGTGATACACTTGCCCGTTTGGTTTCAGATTGTTCGTCGGCAAAGCATACAGAGATTTGCCACAAAGGCCAGCTTCGATTCCGGGACAACCACACTCAATCCACGCTTGGCAGTGCTTTAGATTCTGGAGAGGCTCTTTTGGGCCAGAGCGCAGTCATAGTATACCGCTACGCAGTTGGTATCGTGCAAAGAGGTCGAATGAGGTTGAATCCTTTTGCATCGTGTGCAGGCAGACAGCACGTATCAACGCTCGGAGAGTTGGGCGCGCATGGCTCAGTTCTCTGTGGAAGTTGAGCAGAAGTTCAGTTGCAACCACAAGTTCTGGCTTGCCGCCAGCCCGATGCTTCTGAAGGAAAAAGCCAAAAGATGCGGCATACGCTGCGTTGAGGTGCGGCAGCAAGATGCTTTGATTTGCTTGTTTGGTGCGATGCAGAGCAGTTAAGCCAGATACTTGGGCTTGCTGCCGACGGCCACACCCACTGCCTCAAAGCCTGTTCTGCTGGGTGGCTCGATGGTCGTGTGCCCCTCAGCTTCTGCACTTCAACATTCATCGTTTTCCAGGAAGGCTCTCTCTGGCTCGCGTACGGGTTGAGTAAGCAAAAATGGCGGAGTTGGAATGAAACACGGGAGAGGCGCCGGACATCGAACCAGAGTCCGAGCGTCCGCAGAGTTGTTTGGAGTTCAGCAAATGTCACTTCGAACGTGTCTGGCGTCATGCCATCCAGTTTTGTAGCCTTGGACCCGATGTGGACGTTTGACCAGTGCGACGCTTTTTGCCAACACCTTTTCTACAACAGCTGATTGCTCAGGGCTCTTCTGTTGGAAACGTTTGATCCCTTTGGATTTGCCTGCTCAGGGGCAGCTCCTGGAACTGGCACTGGCAATCTGCTTTGCAAGCGCAGCGGATTGCAGCGCTTTGACCGAATCGGCCACCGTCGAGGCCAGCACACGGCCTTGATTCTTTGATTCTTTGCGCTTGTTGTCGAACCGAGTGTGGGATGCTTGAAACGCTTGCGGGAGTCAAAGGCTAGCACTTGCTTGTTTCCGTGCGCAGGACAAGAAAGCATTGCAGCGACTGCGTGCGCTCGCAGAACGTCCCACTGTCGAGTTTGGATTAGTGTTTGGATTTGTTCGCGATGTCTGCGTGACAAAAAATGGATAGATTCGCCTTGTCAAGTAAGAGCCCTGCCGTGCAGGATTAAACCTGCTCGGACGCGGTGTGGTGGCAGCCCCAGCATCCTCAGGAAAATCTCGCCAACGAGCGTTGTTCTTGTTTCAATTTTGTCTGGCATGTTTTGTTTTCCACTGGAGGTGTCTGCTGTAGCGATGCGTGCTTGGAGTTGGTCAAAACATAGTTTATCGCTCTTCCAATTAAGGTGGTTTCTTCTGAGAGCAAGGCCACACTGTCTCCGGCCTCTCCGGCTTGTTGAGTCGTGGTGTGTCGTGGTGAAGCAAGTAGCCTCGAGTTCTCGAGATCAAGATGTCCCGGAACCATCCTGAGCCCCTATGTAGAGCCGTTCCAGGCAGAGCTCGTTACGGCATTCTTGAATGCCTCTGCGCAGTCCGGTTCACGTGGAGCCTCTCCGACCGGCAGGTGTGAACTTCAACCAGCCTGACGTTTTGATGTAGCGTGTCGACCTTGCCACTGACCTTGTTCTTGCCACCGTGTCTAGGCCACCGGGGTATGCGAGGAAGGACTCAACTCAAAGTGTGCTGAGCAAAGCTAGCTTGTGGCTCAGAACTTTTCATCTTCAGACGCTTCCTGAATTGTGATCTTGCGTCATGGCTGGAGGCTTGCTCCGTCATCGCAGTACTTCGAAGGTCAGGTTTGATGCGACGGATTCTCCAAAAGCTCGGTCCTTTGTATTCTTCAGGTTGTTTACCTTCGTTGGCAGCTTCTACAAGATTTCTGCAATCCTCATCTGTTACAGTGTCTGCTCGAGGCGTCACCTCGCACGCCCGATCGAGAGCTGCGTTCAGGCTTTAGCTTCGGCCCCAGCTTGAAGCTTCATACTTCGCACATCCGGCATCCATTTGTAGCCACTGTTTTGGTAGCAGAAAAAGTTGTTGTCGTAGTAATTAGCAGTAGCAGCAGCAGTCGTCGTCATCGTGGTGGTGGCGGTGGTGGTGGTTGTTTTGTGACGCACCTGGCACGCCAACGGCTTGGGCAACTTGACCCCAAAGTCCAAAAACCCAATGAATAACAGACAGCAAGTCGGTCCATGTGTATAGATGCACCCAAGAGAAACATCCAACTTCACTTATCGGAGGTCAGAGAGTTAAACAACCATGCGAGTTTGCACAGAAGCGTTGGTCTCCCGTGTCCTGTATGGGTGTGCCGACATCTCACGAAACACGCACAAGCGCAGAGACAACCCCTTAATCACAGGCTGACCAACAGCTGACCCGCAAATCCAACCCCACTCGACAGCCACACCTTCTGAAACGTGAGTTTAGCCACTTCATCAGACCAGGATTTACCGAATCATCAGTGCTTCAGGTCACCCCCCAGAAAAAACCAACCACGGTACAGTAGTAGTAGTCGTCGTCGTAGCAGTCGTAGTATGTAGTAGTAGTCGTCGTCGTTGTGGTAGAGTCGTAGAAGTCGTCGTCGTCGTAGTGGGTCGTAGTTGGTAGTTAGCAGGCAGCAGTTAGGAGCCAGCAGCTAGCTTGAGTAGTCAGTCTTTATTAGGAAGTTAGCAGTTAGTAGATAGTAGTTTGTAGTTAATACTTAGTAGTTAGCATTCAGTAGTTAGCATTTAGTAGTTCGCAGTTTATATTTCGTACTTAGCAAATCGTAGTCGTAGTGAGTAGGACGTGGTTCGTTGTTACTAGATAGCATTGGGTTGTTCGTGGCAAATCGAAAGAAGTCGCTAGTTGTACTTAGTAGTAGTTCACTTGGGCTAGTTGTTAGTGGTTATTAGTTCGTGGCTAGTAGGTAGCGGTTAGTCGCTAGACTTCAGCAGTTCGTAGAGATGCAAGCAGTTTGCAGATAGTCGCTGGTAGCCAGTACTGATGATGATAACCATACTGCCTCGTTATTGGTGGAAAAAGTACCAGTAGTAGTCGTAGCAGCAATACTACTAGACCCATCCCCCCTCCTGACCCCGCACTTGCACGTCAGGGGGTCAGGGTCGCCACCCCCTCCCGCCCCCCACCCCGAAAAAACACACACACATCCAAGCAAACTCCCCTCTGCCAAGCGAGGTCGAAGGCTCGAGAGTTCGTAGGTTGGACGTGTGCAAGTTTCAAGCTTGGGAGGTTTCGAAGGCGCAGCAGTTCGAAAGTCTGGGCACCTTCGTATGTGCAAACGCGTGCATGCGCGTCTAAGTCGAACTTTTCAAACTCTCAAACCTGCCCGTTCGTCGAAAGGTTGAAAAGTTCGAAAGTGTTTAGCTTGACATTGCGAAAGTAAGTTTCCAAAGCTTTGAAGGTTGAAAGTTGCAACTTCGCGAGTTTCCTTTTTCAAAGATCCGGTACGGATCCTGTATGAACCCTTTCAGAACTCTGCAGGGCTGGTGTTTGCACATGCGGGGGCTGGACCCCCAAATGTTGCGAAACTCAAGCGAAGCGAGCAAAACCCCCCCAAAAAAAGAGCGCTTCGGTCGAGGCCGAGGCGAATTTTTCCCCAGCTACATTTGTGAATCAAAAGAATCATTGGTGAAGCTCAAACATTTCGCCACACAAACAGACAGGCCGAAAGCAACCAACCAACAAACTAGCGGATGTTGCGTGTCATGTCCAAACTTGTGCGAGTTGCTTGGGCTTTTTTTGTTCTTTAGGAACTCTAGGTGTTGTTCTTGTTCTAAGTGTTGGCAGCTTCTGCATAGTGTCGGATGCTTTCTGTAGCTCCTCGCCCCCCGCTTTAGAATATTCCCTCCTACACGAGCATTAGCAGTAGCCCGGCACTTTGCCTCGCATGTGTATGATGTGCCAAGATCGGTCCCAGTCGGACTTCAGCTGCTCTTCGTTCACGGACTTCAATCAGAAACAGGCCCAGTTGACCCTGCACATGTGCCACCAAGATGAAGAAACAAGGAGAGCACGAATATGCAAGACGGTTTGCAGGTAGGACAGGAACCTCGTCGAATGTGCTTGCGATGAAAGGATCTTTGTTACCCAGCAGTGTCCGGTACAATCTTCCGGCCTTGTGTGGCGTCAAGCTTGGTGATCCCTGCCTGGTCGCAGTCAACACTTAGTTTGAGTTGGCTCTCAATAATGGAAAGGTGTGTTTTTCGAAGACCAAGTGGTTACAGACTGGCGGCTATGCTGGCTGAAACTGAACGCGACTTCTCAGCCTCAGCCGGGCTTGCCAGGCCCGTGCAAAAAAGGACACGAACACAGCCGCCCCTGCCTTCTTGGAGTTCCTCATTGCGGTCCTTAAAGGTGGCCAGGCCATGACGAGAAGCGCACAAGATGCTGATTACCGTATTGTCAGCAGATGCTCTTGCGCACAGGAGCAGCGCGTCGGGGCAGTTTCACCTCCTTCACCGCCCGGAACTGCCGCTGTTGGAGCTTCTTTCTAAGTTATCCGGAACGAGTTGTGCTACTGCGGTGAAGTTCAACCTGGACCCACCCAGGCAAACGGTAACGATGTCGTTCTAGACCTCAAGCTGGACACCGATTTCGGAAGGTGGATTGCGGATTGCTGAAGGGTTGCAGGCTTGCTGCTACTTCAGCTCTGCTTGGTCGCTAGACTCTTCCTGCCAAGCCAGGTCAAGTTCAGCGCACCCTGAAGACGACAATGCGTCTGTCGCTGCCTGAGACACTTTTCCGACATGTCGGACGGCGCAAGGGGACGTTTGCATCGAATCCTCCGGTCTTCATACCGCATAAGGCCAGCCCAAGGACAAGTTTGTGATCAGTTGGTCTGAGGCTCTGACTTACCATTCATACTGCGATGCAATGGTCGCGGGCGCTGGTGAGGATGAGGCCGGAAGCACGGCAGTTGCAGCATGACATGCTGCTGTGGCAGAGACGCATTGAACAGGTGAAGGAAGTGATAAGTGCTGAAGTGTTGAAGCTGGGAGGAACAGAGGCCAGACGCAGACATAGATCTTTGTCACAGAGTTGCTACAAGCTGTGATATCACGACGGCAAGGATCGACAAGATATGATAATGGTAGAATCCCAGTGGAAGCAAAGAGTCAATGACACGCAGGGCAAGCAAACCATGCGCATCGCCTTCAAATCCAAGCCTGCGCCCCAGCATCCTTTTCATGGTGCGTTTAAGATTGTGTTTAGTTGGTTTGATGACGCACTTTCCAGATGCCTGCGGACACAAAACGAGTGGCAGAAGCAGCTTCTCGCCCAACAGCGCGCCCATTTCTGAGCGATTCTGTTGAGGGGGCGTGTGCACGCCTGCCGCTACATTTTGCAGCATGCTGCTGTGCTGAGGCTTTGCTGGATGTTGTCACAGGCAGGTTGCAGGCAGCCGAAAGAACTTTGAAAGAAGACGAGGAGGCAGTCCGTGGCTGGACATTTGTGCAGTTTTGGCACGGTTGAGTTCCGTAGCTGTGTCACATTGCTTTCGAAAAGTGTAGCTCGCAGGCAATACCATGAAAAACTTATTTATCGCTGTATTACTATGACTACGACTACGACCTACTACAACTTGGCTATGGCTCAAGTTTTGGACCAAACAAAGGACGAAACCCGGTGAGCCTTGCCCAGGGAAGTCAGGTCCCTGGCTCGTCGTTAACTCGCCCGTTCAGGAAGTTTCCCTTGAGTCCCCGTGATCAAGTCTCCTGGACCTCCTGCCTCCCAACTTCTCAACTCCTAACCGTCCTAACCTCTCTGGCTTACACTTTCTTTGCTTGCACGGACTGTCCTTGTACTTGCGCACTGCCTGCCTTGCCTTGCTGCGCTGCCTGTCCCTGTGCCTTGTACTGCTTGCCTGCCTTTGCGGGATTTAGGAGTTGAAAGTGAGAGAGAGATGTCCGCTGACACCGAAACCCTGCTGCTCCCAGGAGCTGTGGGATATAGGGCACCCTTTTGAGGGAGCACCCACCAGGGTGTTTTCCAGGGATTCCAGGTGCTGCCCAAGAATCTTCAGATCCTTCGGAACGTGGGGCGCCCACATCTTGCAGAGCCGAAGACTCCCCGCCCAGGCACGGAAATCAGGTTGCCGGGAGTCAATCTGAAACACCGTGATCCGGATGCGGACAGAGAGACTGTCATGCTTAGCTGAGCACGGACCATCACGACGACTGACGTGCCCGCTGTCCCCGGACCCGGCACGCCGGAGCTGGGGGAGGCTGATAGTCCTGCTGGCAGAACTGAGGAGGCTGAAATCCCTGTGCCGGACCGAGTTCCAGTCGTTGACTTGTCACAGGAAGATGATGGGTTCCATGAATCTCCTCCTACGCCTGCTTGACCTGTCAGCGTGGCTGCCCGACAAACACGCCCTGCTGTGCCTGGCCTGCGCCAACGATGGGCAGATTGCAGCGGGAGCTCGAGGGGCTAGGGATGCGGCCCTGTCCTCCTCTGAAGCCGGGTGTGACGAACCCCAAAACGTAACCCTACCCAGAAATGTTGCACCCGATGAGTTGTCGGACGCACAACTGGCCCCTGACCCTTGCCAACGGTCCGTCCATCCCTACATGCCCCTGAGGCTTAATAGACGCCCGAGACCGAACCTCCATTTTACGGCTGATTCATCCAAGGATGGGCAGGAGCGCCTGCACGCAGAGATGACTGGGGTCAGGGCTGACTCAGGTCAGCAGGACATCAGAGTCACGGCCCTGGAGAGCACCTGCAGGGAGCACACAGAGCTTCATACAAGTACGCTGCTACGAGTTGCGGAGCTCAAGAGACAGGTGAAGGACCTTCGAGAGGGAAAGAAAATTTCCCCGGTGCTCAGATCTGGGGACACAGCACCCTCACCGCATGATCGCTCGCCCCGCAGTCCCAGAGGTGACCGAGACCCAGAAGAGGATCTCCAGATGTGATTGGTGGATGGCTGGAAGCAAAGAAGGAGTGAAGTCAAACAGATTTTCAATCGCTTGAACATTTCGGGCCGCATTTCAGAAGTCATTGGTCCCTATGTCAAGGCAAATTTTTGCAGGGTTGTTCTTAAATTTCCTGGCAATGTGTCGACCCTCCAAGCCCACTGCATCTTCCAAACCGTCCAAACCCAGACGTTGGGAAAGTTGAACGCCACCAACTTCCTTTCCGGAGTCCCAGGATCAAAGAACAAGTCGCTCTGGATGACTCGTAACCGCACTGTTGAAGACAGAAATAAGATCCGCGCTCTTGTGCAAGTCAAGGAAGTCTTCATTCACACCAGCATGGCTGACAACCGGGATCGAGAGACTCCCGAGATCGTCTGGCGCGGAAGGGTCTATGTTGGTCGTGTTCAGGTGATTGCAGAAGCCGGGAACCTACCAGGCGACGGTCACCCCTCAGACCCTCAGATGTCTATGTCTCTAACAACAGCAGAGACCGTACAGGCTGAGTGGTTCTTGCGTCGAGATTTCAGGTGGTAACCGGGCACCCGGCAGACTCCTTGCCCACTCTGTCCACTATGTGGGAGAACGGAGTCCACCTCTGCATGAGCCGAAAGTGACTTTTCACGCTACGAGCTGGGGATTTACGAGGCAAACATTTGGAGAACTTCGCGATGCCTTCAGACTTGCTTAATCTGCGTGGGGCTGACCTAAATGGTTTGCAAGAAGTTGGGGGCTGCTTAGACATCCCATCTTGGAAGTGGGACACACGACCTGTCTGGCTCATCAACCAATCGTATAAGGTGTTTTGGGGTAGGTTTCCCTTCGTGGCTACTCCCATCGGTTAGGCATGTTTCCGTGATGCCGTGCGGCTTGTCAGTGAAGCTAAGACAGGATGGTGTGTCCACAAATGCGTCCATATCCTATACTCTAACCAGGAAGACTCGCAACATGTCTGGCTGGAGCAAATTAGATGCATGCGAAGTCTCCTTGAAGGAAAACAATACCACGACCACCTGTACTTGATATGTGATTTGAATTACGAACTGATGCATGCCACGTCGGAGATGTCGGGTCGGATGAGTGGAGCGCCCTTTTGAATTTGGTGCTTAGAGACCTTGAGCTCCGCTCAACGAGGCCCCGCACTTACACTTGGTCTAATACCCGCGGTGCGCAATCGAGCATAGACTATATAGTGTACCGGAACCCTCACCAAGAAACCCTCGCACAAGGCGCGATTGAGGAGTCGGATCATATCCTTGAATCAGACCACAGGCTTTGCACCTTGTGTGTGGCAGTTGGCCGTGGGCCCAAACGCCGCAAACAGAAACGCAGTGGCAAATGGGGGTTGGCTACACCAAAGCGGTGCCCCTGCTGAACCAGCTGGCCGAAAGATCTGACCCCGATGGCACGGATCTCTGTGAGAAGGGCTTCCTGAGAGTCTCTGACAAGTCGTGCTTCAGACCCCGAAGTTTTCGCGATAAAAACAGTCCGGGATAACCCAGCTCATTCGAAAGATGCCGTGGACCCCCTCACTAAACGACAACCTCACTAAAAGACACTTAGGCCGCAAAGTGATGCACAGACGAGTAAGAAGCTTTGGCGAACGGAACTCCTCGACAGAGGTGCCTCAGGAGACTATCAGATGACTATCAGGTCATCAGCTACTTCCGCCGGAAATTCCGGAAACAAAGTCTTTAGGCAACGCAGCTGGAGTATTGCCTCAGAGTTGAGGGCACGGAGTCCGCAGTCGGGGTCTTAAGTTCTCTTAGTCTTGGCTCACACAAAGAGCGGGAAGAGCTGCGGCACGGACGGCGCTCCGTACGAGTTCTGGTGTGCTGCCCTGCAATCAGACTCAGCGGAACAACATCTGATCGAGTTCCTCAACGACGTTCTGTTCGGTAATCAGGATTTTCCACAGGCATGGCTGTTGTCTCTCCTTCCGAAGGTGAAGGAACCGAGACATCCCAAGGACTATCGTCCTGTTGTGCTAGCTGCCACGCTGAGCAAAATCTTTACAAAGGCGTTATAATTGCCCTTGAGGGAGTCTTTCCCTGTTATGATTACTGGACAATGGGGGTTTTCCCTTCTTGCTTGCAAGTTGGACAGTTGGACATTCAGGCAGCTTTCGGCAGTCTCAGGCACGACACACAAGACAAGAAGACCATCCTTGCGTACCAGTATGGAAGCCCAGCCATGTGCATGTGTTGGGAGGCGGCCCTTCTCACTATGCTCTCGCTGCAGTTGTACTGGCCTGCGTCGTGGCCTCCATGTTTGCTAAGGTTCAGGCAGGACCTATTGCGAATGCGTACCTGTCGTTTGCACCAATGTTGCAATCACACTCCAAGACGTCCTGGACAAGCTTACTCAGGTCTGCGAAGCGCTGGACAGCGACACAGGAAGCCCCTTCAGATGGCTTTGCGATACTGCCCAAGCCCTCAACTCCCAGGTTTTGGAGCTTTCAGTATGTCAGGAAAGAGGTGGACGGCGACAACCAAGCCCCACAGGAGCCTGGTGCCTCAAGGCCTTTTGGGGGCGTTTCCGTGCCCACTGAGCCTTCTCAGGACAATGCAGAGATCCCAAGTGAGAAGCTCTCCCCTGCAGCGCACAGATGCCAGCATAGGTGGTTTTGTGCCTGATAAACAACACAACACCCGCTCTGACATGGGCGCCGTATATAATAGCCGACCGCCTGCTTTGCTTGGCCGCATGCGATAATTCACATTTCCTTGCGACAGCCTGTAATGAGGAGCAGCACCCTACTGTGCGCTGTCGCTGCTCCGACATGTCGGGTGTGCAGTGCATGTTCAATGCAGAAGTGAAGCTCTGTCACTTTCCTGATGATGTTGGACAAAGTTTTCTCTCCACTTGCGACACACTCTCTCCTGCTCATGCTGCCCATCGCGTATACTGCTGCCCCGGGACCCAGGCCCAGCACCCGGCCACTGGTGTGCGGAACACGACTTGTAGACAGCTTCCGTAGGTGAGGCAGCGCGACAGAAGATGCACAGCTGACTTCCCAATTCGGGTCACGCAGCTTCTTCAGATGGACATCGAGCAAGCAAGACAAGAACATAACACAAGCACGAGTGAACCTGGCAGCTCGAAGACGGCCTTCCCTTCGCGAGTCGGAGGCGAGGACCGGCCGCCTCGAGAACATGCCTTAGTTGCTGCTGGGCTTTAGACATGCTGGCCGGTGTCAGGGTCGAGCGGAGGTTAAGTTTTGGCTGCTGTTGAGGCCAACGCTCTTATGGTCCGAGGAGTATGACAGCAAAGCGAAGCGCTGACGCGTTTGCTGGCGGCGGCGTCGAACATCTGAGAGCACCTGGTGAAACTGGGGATCTTGCGTCGGACATGCTCGCCGAAGCCCAAGGGTACATTACATGTTCTGAGCCTCTGGACCTTAGGCTGCTTTTGAACAAAATCCCCGGCAAGCTTTGGAGTAGACGTCCCCGACCCCACGGTTATGTCGTTTTCGGCCTGTCACCCCCAGCATCCTCTGCCATCACAAAACCG